TACAAGAAAGGAGATTCCATCTGAACATGAGGAAGAACTTCCTGACTGTGAGAGCCGTTCAGCAGTGGAACTCTCTGCCCGGAGTGTGGTGGAGGCTCCTGCTTTGGAAGCTTTTAAACAGAGGCTGGATGGCCATCTGTCAGGGGTGATTTGAATGCAATATTCCTGCTTCTTGGCAGGGGGTTGGACTGGATGGCCCATGAGGTCTCTTCCAACTCTATGATTCTATAATGAGCCTTCCTGGGATGCTTAATTGGGCAGTCATTAGCAGTTTCTGTTCACACATGTTTGAAAAAACTAGATGGATAATCAATCCCATTGTAACAGTTTTTCATCCACTTCCTTCCATGGGAATAATTTCAAGGACACAGACATTGGTGTAAACGTACTGAAACTGGTTTTCAGGGGACATCCATGATCAACAAGTCCTCTACTATTGCTACCTGCTATTTTAGATTATTTCATGAGATCACCAAATCCAAATTAAATTAGTGATAGATTTTGTGGCTGGGCAGCTGTCCATCTACATCCCATTTTAAAGAGAAATTGTAATAAAAAAGAAAAAGGAAAACGGTATGTTTTAGTCATCGTTTCAGCTGTTTCATCAAGCTATGTGCACAAACATAATTTCTATGATTCCTAATTTCCTGTAATTTGTTTGTGGATTTTTCCTTCCTTATTTTTCTTGGCAATAGTCTTTCATGAACAGTCACTTTTCCTTGTTTCTAATGCCAATAGGCTTCTGATTTTTTTCCATCAGCAACCAACTATTCGCAAGTTTTCATTTCCCTGGTTTATTTTACTTTGAATCCATAACACCGATAAACCTTTGGCATTTCCCTGGGCCTCTAAAACCCTTTAAAAATTATCAGCTTTTCTGGATCCAAGTCAATTTCAAAAGCTCTTACTGTCTAGTTGTATGTACTAAATTAAGACCATTATCTTTGGTATACTATTTCCAATGTCACTCTTTTCTTGGAAACATGTCTAACATTTCTCTGTCACTTTCTCCTTGGTTGTCTACTACATAAATGTTCTTAAATCCACCCCCTCATAAAAAGAATAGATCTAAAATAATAACGCTTTACTGCTTATTGAATTTATTTCGTAAAACAATAAATAAAACAAAGTGACATATTACTGAAATACACAACTACCTTAATGTAACTTTTTTCAATGGAAAGCCTGACACATTTTTAGATGCTTTGGCACAAGAAGAACCAACATCTCAGATGCCTTTGATATGTTCTATTTGAGGGATTCACTTTTCACATAGGAATAAAACTGAGATAGTTGCATTAGATTCTACATTGTTTTACTGTGAATATGCAGGTGATCTGTAAACATATCTCCTTTCAGATTGTAAGGTATTAGTTCATTAGTTAATTTAATTAATAAATAAATAATAAACTTTATTTATATACCACCCCATCTCCTCAAGGGGACTTAGGGCGGTTTCCAACATATAAAGCAAAACATTCAGTTGCCAAAAAGGAAAACCATACAGACAAAATTAAAATAAACATCATCTATATAAATAAAAATGTAATGTTCATTTGTGGGATTAACAGAACTCAAAAACCACTGGACGAATTTACACCAAATTGGGACACAAGACACCTAACAACCTAATGTATGCCCTTCACTCAAAAGATTGATTTTGTCATTTGGGAGTTGTAATTGCTGGGATATATAGTTCACCTACGATCAAAGAGCATTCTGAACCCCACCAACAATGGAATTGAACCAAACTTGGCACACGGTTCTCCCATGACCAACAGAAAATACTGGAAGGGTTTGGTGGGCAGTATCCTTTGGTTTTGGAGTTGTAGTTCACCTACACCCAGAGAGCACTGTGGACTCAAACAATGATGGATCTGGACCAAACTCTACATGAATATTCAATATGCCCAAATGTGAACACTGGTGGAGTTTGGGGAAAATAGAATCTTGACATTTGGAAGTTGTAGTTGCTGGGATTTGTAGTTCACCTACAATCACAGAGCATTCTGAACCCCACCAATGATAGAATTGAGCCAAACCTCCCACACAGAACCCCCATGACCACCAGAGTGGGCCACAGCAATACGTGGCAGGGGGCGGCTAGTATCTATATAAATAAAAAAAATAATGTTTCTGGTATTAACATAACTCAAAAACCACTGGACAAATTGACAACAAATTTGGATACGATACACCTGTCAGGCCAACAAGTGACCATCACTCATAAAAACACTGAAAAACACAGCAGAAGAGACTTAAAAAGCCACACACACCCCACCAAAAAAAATACATTACAACCCATGTGCAAAACCACATATATATATTCAAACACACATATATACACATATACACATATATATACACACACACACATATATGCATATATACACACACAAAACACACATACACAGACTGGGCCACAGCAACATGTGGCAGGGGGTGGTTAGTAAAACAGAATTACAAAGTGGACACAACCAACTACAAAAAGGCTGGGCAAGGGCTAGTGCAACAGTGTATCATAGAGACGGGGAAGTGGATAAAGTTCTGAACAGAGTACTATCTAACGGCCTAGGGAATGATCCTAGGGCCTAATTAATCTCAAAAACCTGCTGGAACATCAAGGTTTTCAGGTCCCTATGAAAGGACAACAGTTTGGGGGCTTGCCTAATCTCCCTGGGGAGGGAGTTCCAAAATCGAGGGGCCATCACCAAAAATCCCCCCCCCCCAACCATACTTGTGATGGTGGCAGAAGTGAGAGAAAGGCCTCCTTGGCCAATCGCAGAGCCCACGCCGGTTCATAGGGTGAGATACGATCACAAAGATAGGCTATATCTTATATGCTACACTTCATAAGGAACACCTTATAGTAAAAGTAATGTTATAGTAATGCTGTGGGTTAGGGATCCTTGTTTTGTTCATAAGTGACTACAACTTGTGCATTGATTCTTTCACTGTGTTTTGCACTGCTTATCATTTAATCTATAACACCATCAACAGTTCAAAGACAAAAGAATATAGATTATATATACAGGAGGAGTATCTTTCATCCAAAATGCTTGGGACCAGAAGTGCTTTTGGTTTCATTTTTTATTTATTTTGGAATACCTGTATTTGCATGTATGTGCACAATAAGATGTCTTAGAGATGGAATCCAAGTCTAAACATGAAATTAATGTATGTTCTGCAATGTGCTTTACATTGGGCTACCTTTGTACCAAGTTTGGAAATTCCAGTTGGTTCAAAATAAGGCAGCCAGATTGGTTACAGAAATATCCATGAATGAGCATTTTACATCTATCCTAAAGCTACCCCACTGGCTGCCAGCAAGTTTCTGAGCAAAGCACAAAGTGTTAGTTTTTACCTTTAAAGCCCTACATTGTTTGGGTCCAGGTTACCTACAGGATCGCCTTCTCCCGTACAATCTGCCCTGCATGCCTAGGTCCTCTGAAGGGCGGCTACTGCCAGAACCTGACTGGCAAACGTCACCCAGGGGACTTTTTCATTGGGCCACTCCAAGACTGTGAAATGACCTGCTGGAAGGGCTCTGACGGCTAAATGAGCTGTCAGAATTTTAAAACCATCTAAAGATCTATGTCTTCTGGCAGGTTTACCCAGGCAGTTTTAGTCACAAATTGTAAACTTGTGAATTATGTTTAATCTTTGTTCTTTGTATTTTATTATATATTTTGTAGAAATATGTTTTAATATGTGTATTTTGTAGAATGTTCTTAGATGATTATGCATTCTTAGCGATATTGCAATCTCGAGCCACAAGGAGAGTAAAAAATAAATTATTATTATTATTGTTATTATTAATAATAATACAGAGTTTACAGTATGTTATAGTATGGGGCATAGTATTAGTTAGGCCTATTTCTAATAGTAACTCTCAAGCAATCAGAAACTATATTTATCTGGCATCTACCAATCCTCATGGGTGCCAACTAACTGAGAGTGTACTGAACCTTAGACACATAGCCTAAAGATGATTTTACATAATATTCATAATAATTGTGTATGTTAAATGAATTATGTGTACACTCAACCCTCAGAAAGCAAAGGAATCACTATCTCAGCCACCCATGTGGACATTTTCTGATTTTGGATAAGGGATCCATGACCTCTACTAAGAATTAAAATGTGTGATAATGTTCAACCTGTAATACCATAACTTAGTTTGATACTTCACTACAGGAGCTCCTAACAAAGAGACACACTATTTTTATATTAAAAAGCAGCTTCCCTCTTAGGTAGATATAGCTAAATCAGCAAACTTTTTTAAAAAAAACTTATTAAGCATACAGATTTTTCTTCTGAAATTATTATATAAATTACAATAATCTCAAAAATAAATTACTTTATAACAAACAAGGTCAGTCATTCAGACCCATATTAATTATAATCAAATGTTTGTAGATATATTATGCTTAAAAAGACCTATATCTAATAGGGAGAAGGGAAAACCTGAATAAACATGATGGCATGCTCTACTATCCAAGTAAATGACTTTACAATTCTAGCCAACAGAGCTCTCATGGCATAAGAATACCTGTTCAATCACAAAAGCGTTCGGTATTAATATATTTATAAGCCTCTCTTCTACCTCTCTTGAAAATAAAGGGTAGTTAGAAAGACTTCAAAGAAACTGGATGCTTTATTTATACCATTACAGATTCATTTTAAATGTTTAAAAAGCTTAACATCATATCACATTATTCAGAATACTTTTATTCTTTAACATGACAAACTTATGATTCCAATTTATCCTCTTTGGAAAAAGTGAAATAGTTCTTTCCATTAGAGAACTAAAAATAAGTGCCTTTTATTTCGTACTCTAACGTTTTTCTTTTTCTCAGGATAACTTATGACAATTCGGAAGAGAATACAATTTCTGAAGCCTTATCAAAATAGAAAACAATAACTTACATTACTTAATATTACAGCTGCTAAAATCAGCTGTAATATTTTTAATCAGCTTTAAAGTTGAGCATTCTGACCTGTGAAGCCTGATCCCCTTCAGATCCAGTCACGTACAATGAAGTTTTATCTGTAGAGCCATTCCTTTCTTCATTAACTGTATTGTCTAGAAGAAATGACACAATATTAATGTTTTAATAGCCTTGTTCATGATTACATTTTTAATTACAACGTACAAGTTTGTTACACTGCTACCATCCTCTTCAACCAATGTGTAATTCAAACTAATAGGCAGGATGAAATTCCTGAGTTGCTTTTCAGGAAACAATTATAACGTTCCATCTGTTTAACAAACATTTTATGTTTTAAAATGTTATTAATGGTGTGGGTAAAAAATTTTCACATTACAAAATGGTGCACTCTCTTCTTAATGGAAATATTATCAATCAAAATCTGTAACAAAACACAAACATGTTTATACATGTACAAATATTATTTATGTAGAGGACATGGTTGTGTTAAGTTATATTTCATCACAGAACACCCCATTTCCAAGAGTTAATATAAGTAATATTTTGTATTATAAGAAATGTGCTTCTCATTTCATGAGATTTAATTGAAAAGAGAGGTACCCCACACTAAGATTTTAGCAGTTCAGGTCCAGGCTATTTGGCTGACTGCATCCCCTTGTACGAACCTGCCTGGGCCCTGAAGAGGCCCTTCTCTCAATTCTATCTCCATCTCAAGCTCGGTTGGTGGAAACGAGAGAGCTGCCCCTCAACTTTGGAATTCCCTGCCCAGGGAAGCCAGAATGCCCCCCCCCCCCATGCTTTCCTTCAGTGGCAGGCTAAAACCTTTTTATTCAGACAGGCTTTTAAAGATGAAGGTTTTTAAGATCAATTCAGGGGGTGCTGTGGTTTTTCACTTGGGAAGTGTCCGACATGTGATCCGTTACAACAGCCAGCAGAGTGATCTTGTTTGCTGTGGACTCATCTTGTTGTGTTTCAAATAATAATAATAATAATAATAATAATAATAATAATAATAATAATAATAATAATAGTTTACTACGCCGAAGTGCATTTCTGAGTGACTATCAGTACAGGCAGCTTGCTTTGGGATAAATTAAATCCTTGGATATACTTATGCAAATGAGATATTTCATTTTTACTATAAAATCTCCTTTCTATTCTTTGGTTTGAGATCTAAACAGTGTTGCCAAAACAGATGCCATATTTTGGCATTTTGCTTTAAAGCAAGACTCAACACAAAGGTAGTTTGAGAAAGGAATACCACAGTGAGCATCAACAACTGTCTTTGAATAAAATCAGATACTTTCAAAGTTAGATACTTTCAAAAATGCTAGGAGCAGAACACTTGTATACACTAATATGGAAAACATTTTTCCTCTTACAATGTGGGCTATGAAACTGTGAAATTCAAGCTCACTGTTATGATAGGTTCATTTGAAGTTCATATTTTTGAGTATCTGAAGTATGGTTATGTACTCCTCCAGCTAAATATAAATTCTGTCATTTTAACAATAATCTGACCTTAGCATGATAAGGAGGGAGCCATCTGAGGGACTATACTAAATAAGACATTCTTAAATCCTGTGTCTTAGTAAGCATCCCAAAGTGTTAAAAAGCATTTTGACTGTAGAACTTGGAAATATCAGTCCACTGGAGGGGGCCACTGAGCTCTTGCCCTCCAATCGGCTCTCCCTTCTGGTTGCAAATGACATCTCATGACTAGGGAGGGTTACATACATCTACAGTAGGCCTGTCCACCTGAATTCCTCCCAGTGTGTTGGACTTTAGCTCCCAGAATTCCAGACCAATTGAACAAACTGGCTAAGCCTTCTTGTAGTTGGGAGTCCCCAACACTTGGAGGGCCACAGGTTTTTCAGGCCCAGTCTATAGTATTGATTAAAATGGAGAAAGCTGTAGTTTTTTCCTCTGACTTCTACTGCAATCAATCAGCTAACTAGGTGATTCCCCAAATTCCTGAGGATATTTTGGTCTGATTAGATTTAGAAAACCAGTATAGTGAGAGTTCTTGGTATCTTCTGGGGTTTGCTTTCAGGAATCCCTGTGGATACCAAAATTCAGGGGCGCTCAAGTTCCACTATATACAATGGGGTAATAAAACCATGTACCATATATAAAACAGTAAAAAAAAATCAAGGTTTGTTTTGGGGATTTGGGGGGGGGGGGTGTTTCAAGTAGTGGATGGTGAATCTGTGAATATGGAGGGCAGACCTTACAAACAAGTTCCATTTTACTCCTCCCCTCAACTATCATTTATATTGTTCTGTTTTTAAACCTGCATGTCATGATTGTGGCTTCATTATAGATCATACATATTTCATTTCTTTTAAAAGGAAGTGCTGTGTTTGTGGGTTGTATAAATACAGGCAGTCCCCAAGTTATGAACAAGATAGGTTCTGTAGGTTAGTTCTGAAGTTGAATTTGTATATAAGTCAGAACAGGAAGATTTTTAAAGTGTAACTCGAACCAAAATTGTATATCTATCTATCTACCTACCTGCATACCTATAGCTAGCTTTGGATAGCATAGGAAGGGTTAACACCCTGTGGTGTTTGTTTTGCTGACTGTTCCCCTGTTCAGAAGATTTCACCTCACTTTCTGTCCCTATAATAATTGGATTTTGAAAAAAAATGGCTTGTTGTTGATTGAAACAAGGATTGGCGAGAAAGCTTCAGTGGAAACACTTTCCCCCATAACTCTTCCAGGAGTGAATTTCCCTTCTACTACCTCATCACACTAAAGAATGAATCCACCTTAAATCCATTTTCTGCCTCCTGCAAAATTCTGGGGTTTGCAGTTTAGTGAGGTTGTTAAAGGCTCCTACCTAAACTACAAACCCCAGAATTCTGCAGGATAGCAACTGGATTTAAAATATTTATTTGTTTGTCGTGACAGAGCAACCAGTCCATTATATTACATTTCTAACAGAACAAAGCAAACAAACAGAAAAATACAAAACTTGTGAGTTTGGTAGTTGGTTAAATGTCCTTTGACCAGTATCTGGATATAAAATGCACTCATTCTTTACTGTGATGAAGTAGACAGGGGAAGATTTCTCTCACTTCCTGTTGTCTCACCCCTGTTGTTAACTATGAGTTGTTTGGGACTGCCTGAAGTATTGAAATCCATGCAAAATGTTACTGTGACAACCAAACTTCTCTGTCTAGAGGGTTAGCTAATATTTTTCCAAAAGTGAAGCCAAAGATCTTCAACTTGCCTAAATTAAAGTAGGGCATGCTTCTCATGTGGATACTATCGTTGAATAGGAGACATACAAGCACAATAGTTCAAACTGTTCTGCTAAATAGAATTGACCTTTCTCCTAATAGATCAACATCTTCAACTAGATAATTGGGAGAGAGAGAAAAACAGATCAGGGTAAACCAATTTTATCTTCAGTTTCAATGCAAGAGTCCTCAAAATTCCATCTATTGGAACAACACTATGGTTACGAACACTGAAACAAAGTTTAATGTTACAAAGCATTTTAAATATTCCAAATGATTTGCCATACGAAGTTGACATTCAATATAAGTTTACTTTTAAAGCTCAGTTTCCTTTGAGCTCTAATGATTGAAATGAGTAATGAATGTAGCTGTACTGGAAAGAACCACATACAAAGGAAATGTAATAGCAGTGAAACCATAAAGAATATTGAGTTTAGCTGCTTCAGTATTAACAATACCTGCCACAAAAAATTATAGATTATCACAAAATTTCCAATAAAACCACAATTTTAATCTGAAACAAACTGAACTGAGAACAGTGTCTTAATTTTGCTGAACAGACACATCTCCTACATTCAGTAGTTGGGAAGAATGGCATTGACTATAAATTGTCTTCTGCTGACAGGCTTTCTAGTAAAAGCAAACTGTATTACTATCAGTTTTCCAAAGATTTGAATAAAATGGTATGTTTGGTTGGTTTATTTTTAGTATGGGCCTTGAATTTCCCTGTCTGCGTGTGCAATCATGCCCCCACACACAGGAACAGGCATTAATTTGCCAGATGTAGTGAAAAGGCAAATGCAATTTTATTTTCATGTAAAGACATGTCATTCAAGTTGGCAGTTTAAGATTTAGCTTTCCTATTCCCTTTAAGGCAACATACAAATCCCTCCAGTGTTCCCAAGTATTTAGCCCAGACTAATTCTTCTTACTGCTGCAATACTACTGCTGCTACTACTACTACTTCTCCACCCCTTCCCCCTCCTTTCTCTCTCTCTCTCTCTCTCTCTAAAAGTCAAATTATGTCTGTCTGTCCATCCAGTCTATTTTTCTGTCTGTACAAGGGGCTCTCTGTGATGTCACTGCATTGGCTGTTGCTGGAGTGGTCCTCTATGTTGTCAGTGGGAAAGAAAGGTGACATGTGCATGAGGAGAAGGAAGGAAGGAAGGAATTAAAGAGCCACAAAGAGAGCGATGTGGCTATGGAGACATTGTGAGGTAGCTCTTCTCAAAACTGGAGAAAGGGGGAAGGGAAGGGAAAGGAAGGGAAGGGAAGGGAAAAGGAAGTAAGGAAGGAAGGAAGGTAATTGAGCAGGGAATAAGGGAAGTAGGAGGGAAGGAAGAGAAAAAAGAGGAGAAAGGTATGAGAGCTGGAAAAGAGAAGGGACGAGTCTCCTTCCTGGTGAGAAAGGCAGGGTATAAATGAAGTACATAAATAAATAAATAAATAAATAAACAAACAAACAGACAAACAAACAAACAAACAAACCAAATACATGAAAGCAGGGGCACAGTGGCCCATCTGGGTAACACCAGGAATATACAATAGTTCCACTAAAAATGCTCACTAAGATTATCTGTAAATGTAACAAGCACATGGCAACCCTTTGATTCATTAGTAACATTTTCTGAATATTTGAGCTGGCAAAGCAGTGGCATTTATTATGGTTAATGATGACACAAGAAAAATACTGTCAAAGTTAGTAGGAGTACATGAGAAAAATGGATAGTTTTCTGTTGATTCACAGCAGCCTTCCCCTGTCTTGCACCCAATATATTGGACAATAATTACCACTATCCAGCATGACTACTATCTAAAACCTCTAGAAAGCACCAAATTAGAATAGTCTGTGATGAAGAGTTTCAAATAAATCAAATTATAAGACTAAT